TCTTCAGTAATGTCGTTTCTAAATAAAGCCCCATACCGAATGTTATCAGAAATAGACATGTCAAATAAAACTGGGTCCTGTGGTACTAGACTCATCTGTCTCCGGAGAGATGAGATCTCAAAGATATTGATATTAATATTGTTGAATTCTATTGTTCCTGAATCAGGGTCAGGATCATAGAATCTCTCGGCAAGCGACAGTATGGTGCTCTTTCCTGATCCGCTCGGTCCTACGATCCCGAGAGTCTTTCCTGGTTTAACGGTGAGACTCAGACCGGGTAGTACCACCACACCAGGACGAGACGAGTAAGAGAAATGAATGTCATCTAATGCGAGCTTAGCATAATCTTCTTGAAACTACAATATTAAAAAATAATCATTAATTCTTCTTCTACAGGTGTCATACATGTACATACGTGTATGTGTACATGTACACGTAAAGGCATTATTTAACATTATTATTTAACATAACATTTATTGTTATGTTGTGTAGAAAGTTTGAGGTAATTCCAATCAAAATTAATTTTTTACAAATTTTTTACTAATTACAAAAGTACACGTACTTTTGTGGCGATATCCACTCCTTGGTTAGGTATGTTAATGGAGGGTTTTTCCTCCAGTAGTGCTAGTATTCTTGAAGCTGCTATTTGTGCCGACTGGGTATCAGGCAGTGAGCGAATGAGCTCCTTAAACAACCAGCCAGCATACAGCATTGCACCGATAGCTCTGGAGGGGAAAGAAATAATTTCAGTCTATACTTTTAATTAGGTGCACTAAACTTAAGTGTTTTTAATGTAGTGAAAAAATGGCTCTATAAAATTTAGCATTTTTTCTTTTAACATGTTTTAAGAAAGTTAATGATTTACATGCCATTAAAATAATTTATTGTTTTTAATGTCCCTAAAAATTGACTAAAATTAGCAATAAAAGTGGGTTTGGAGTACATGTACATGTATTGTCTCCCTCTCTCTCTCTTTTACTTGAATATGTCACTAATATCAGCATAATAGACAGTACCAGGAGAAGTGTATGCATAAGCTCCAATGATCATTCCTCCCGAGAGTACAAAAGTAGCACAAGATTGAGCCAGAGAAAATAATAAAGACTGGATAATAGCACCTTGAATATCATAACTGAGAGAGAGAGAGAAAAAAACAGCAAATATATTATAAATGTATACATCACATGCTCATTAATTTAGACTGAGGAACATTTCAGGGCCAATTTTTGGAAAAAACCATGGGCTATAACCTTGGGTATTTTTCAGATTTTGGCTCATTTTTTAAATGGCCATAGCTCGAAAAGTTGAAGTCGGAATCAGCTCAAACTTTCTACGTAGCATAAGTATATCAATATGTATCAAAAAATGTAATAAAAATTGGGGGTGATTTTGGAGCCATTTTTTCATGCAACATGTTGCAAGCTCCGTTGACTCCTGTATACTGTATAGCAGGAAATTTTGGAGGGGATTAAATTTGGCGAATTTGGCATTTGATAGCCATTTACCAAAATAAAGTCCGCCATTTTGAGCCATTATTATGCATCATGCTCAATGGCACATGGCCACAAATTTACCAGATTAAAATCTGCCAATCACCAAAATTTAGCAATTCACCAAAATTTAGCCCCTCCAAATTTACCCGCTATACGGTAAACTGTGTTGCATGCAACAAGTTGTTTGCAATAAATGTTGCATAGTGTATACTATAGATCTATAGAGCTGTTGCATGGATATGTAATCAATGGGGTAGGTGGAGCTTCCTGTCGGCCATCTTGAGTGGTAAGAATGTTCACGCAACGAATGGAAACAAACTGGAATTTTTCATCAAAGAGATATCATACTTCGCTGCAGAATATTATAGAGACTTCATCACTCAATATCTTCATCTCCTACCTTGCATTAGCCTTGAATGTCAACTCTATTCTCCCCATTCCACCATGTACATTCTTGGCGTTCTTGCCACCCTACATGGCGGACAATTTAGTTCAATTTTAGCTACATCCTCCCATTGATTACTTCCGTGCAACAGCTCTATGTTGTGCTTTAAGAACTGTTCTTAGTGTAGCCACTGTAGTGTGAAACTGTAAATGATCATATACAGACTACATGTACATCATATGCTCATACTCTACAGAGTTTAGAGTCCAAGTATCAGTGTATCAAGAACATTAACCAGGAGCTAGAGGAATCACTGTTCTCCTTTAAGAACAGACCAGTCCATCGCTCGAGGCATCACACCATATCCATAAATATAGACCTTGCCCCGCGAGATTAATATTCATAAGAATTTATGAGTCCTCGAGAGTGGCGGTGGGGCGTGCTCAGGCCCGCCGGGGCATAGATAATATACTACATGAAATATTATCTATGGCCGGGGTCGCCCCAATCAAACTCCATAAAGGGCGGGCTCTATACTATTCTGCTGATTCCGAGGCTGATTCAGTGATTCTCCAGTAGTCTCGCTGGCCAGACTAATTCTCCAGCTCCATTAGAGTAAATTTCATTTACTCTAATATCAATGTCAGCTCCCACTGCTATTCTCTCACTCATTACCTTGGCCTCTTGTTAAAAGAAAGAATACGTTGATTATGGATGAATGGGAAAGATCGCTGCTTAGAATACAATGTAGGAATGCATTTGCAAAAAGAGATCATAAAGAAGCTGTTCAGTTATTACGTTTACAAGATCCTGATGTACTTCATAAAGATGAGCTTAACCTGCTTTATGATTCTATAAGTAATGGCTGGTTAGATGTTACAAGAGATCTCATCACTAATTACTGCTTTAATCCAAATAAATACTATAATGGTAAATCCTGTCTTTATACTGCTGCTAAAGGTAATCATGTTGATATAGTTGAATATTTTATTAAAGAGTGTGGCTGTGATCCAATGATGCATACTTATAGCTATGGCAGTGGTGACCCTGTTCTTCATTATGTAGCTAGAGAAGGATTACTTGATGTCTTGAAGTGTATCATTAATGAGTGTAACTGTGATATAATGATCACTGATAAAGATAGCATCCCTTTTCTTCATTATGTAGCTAGTGAAGGATTACTTGATGTCTTGAAGTGTATGGTCATGAATATCAATGGTCATATAATGGATGAACAATATCGTGATACTAATGGTCGGACTGTTCTTCATTGTGCTGTTAAACACATAGATGTTGTAAAGTACCTCATCAATGAGTGTAACTGTGATGCAATGACTCCTGATAAGGATGGAAATACTATTCTACATGATGCAGCTAGTGAAGGATTACTTGATGTCATGAAGTACCTCATCAATACTCATTACTGTAATCCAATGACTACTAACAATAGAGGTCAGACTGTTCTTCATTGTGCTGTTAAACACATAGATGTTGTAAAGTACCTCATTAATGAGTATAACTGTGATATAATGGTCACTGATAAAGATGGTGTCCCTTTTCTTCATTATGTAGCTAGTGAAGGATTACTTGATGTCTTGAAGTGTATGGTCATGAATATCAATGGTCATATAATGAATAAACAATATCGTGATACTAATGGTCAGACTGTTCTTCATCATGCTGTTAAACACATAGATGTTGTAAAGTACCTCATTAATGAGTGTAACTGTGATATAATGGCCACTGATAAGAATGGTGTCCCTTTTCTTCATTATGTAGCTAGAGAAGGATTACTTGATGTCTTGAAGTGTATGGTCATGAATATCAATGGTCATATAATGGATGAACAATATCATGATACTAATGGTCGGACTGTTCTTCATTGTGCTGTTAAACACATAGACGTTGTAAAGTACCTCATTAATGAGTGTAACTGTGATATAATGGCCACTGATAAGAATGGTGTCCCTTTTCTTCATTATGTAGCTAGAGAAGGATTACTTGATGTCTTGAAGTGTATGGTCATGAATATCAATGGTCATATAATGGATGAACAATATCATGATACTAATGGTCGGACTGTTCTTCATTGTGCTTTTAAACACTTAAATGTTGTAGAGTACCTCATTAATGAGTGTAACTGTGATATAATGGTCACTGATAAAGATAGTGTCCCTTTTCTTCACTATGTTGCTAGAGAAGGATTACTTGATGTCTTGAAGTGTATCATTAATGAGTGTAACTGTGATATAATGGTTACTGGTAAAGATGGTGTCCCTTTTCTTCACTATGTTGCTAGAGAAGGATTACTTGATGTCTTGAAGTGTATCATTAATGAGTGTAACTGTGATATAATGGTTACTGGTAAAGATGGTGTCCCTTTTCTTCACTATGTTGCTAGAGAAGGATTACTTGATGTCTTGAAGTGTATGGTCATGAATATCAATGGTCATATAATAAATGAAAAATATCATGATACTAATGGTCGGACTGTTCTTCATTGTGCTTTTAAACACTTAAATGTTGTAAAGTACCTTATAAATGAGTGTAACTGTGATATAATGGTCACTGATAAAGATAGTGTCCCTTTTCTTCACTATGTTGCTAGAGAAGGATTACTTGATGTCTTGAAGTGTATCATTAATGAGTGTAACTGTGATATAATGGTTACTGGTAAAGATGGTGTCCCTTTTCTTCACTATGTTGCTAGAGAAGGATTACTTGATGTCTTGAAGTGTATCATTAATGAGTGTAACTGTGATATAATGGTTACTGGTAAAGATGGTGTCCCTTTTCTTCACTATGTTGCTAGAGAAGGATTACTTGATGTCTTGAAGTGTATGGTCATGAATATCAATGGTCATATAATGGATGAACAATATCATGATACTAATGGTC